CTCCCTCCCTCCCTCCCTCCCCAAAATTCCAGTGGTTTCCCTGCTTACTGTCATCTGTGCTCATGCTCAGTCTATGTCTCGCTGCAGATTTTTGTATGTTACAACATCCCCCACAATATTTCTTGTTTTCTTTGGGAGTGAACTTAGTCCTTGTTGAAAGAGACGAAAAAGTTTCTAATGATGATCAGTATATTGATCAACACTTTCTGTGACTTCTCCACCCTTCTCCCAACACCACCCCCCCCCCACTCACAAACACACCACCTCCACCCCTTTATCAACACCCCCCCCCCACACACACACACACACCATCTCCACACCTCTCCCAACCCACCCATCCACCCCTTCCACCAGGGTGCTCTGATGGCAATGCTCCAGACGTACGTGGCTCTCCTGATCCGGCCACGCTATCTCTCACACATCCTGGAGGTGAGTGCCTGTCTATTTAGCAGAATAGTTACGATTTTTATTCACTTTTAGGAAACTTTGCTCTCAGAAAAACATTTTACTTTAGAAGTGTAAGTTATTTTACGAATTTTGAAGTATTTATTCCTTATAATATGGTGGTGGGTGGGCCGCCCTGTCAGTCTTGTGAATTTTGGATAGTCCTACTTTTGGTAGATGCTATGACAAAGTGACAATTATTGTTACTGTATTTGCTCCACCAAAAGTTACCAAGTGCTCATGTAAAATAATGATCTTTTAACTCTTTCCCTTGGTCTTGCCACTTTAGTGCCAAACTGGAAGACTCCCTTTCCTGGATAGGAAAAGTAAAAAAAGAAGACCTCCTTTCCTATGCATCACCATTGCATGTAGCATTCTTGCTCATCAGTTGCTCCCATCTTTGATTCCCATAATTCTTTCTATGCAAATTTTACATCCACACGTTAAGTGTTCATATTGTCAGTTTATATTTTGACTTAATACAGTTGCGGGCGCCTCTTGCCCCAAAAAATTTATTCTACATAAGCTGACAAAATGCGTTTTTTTATCATTTTGGCACAAACAATTTTTATTTGCTAAATCAAAAGCCTGATCAGTAACCCTACTTGTGTGAAAAAATTAAAATGAAACTAATTTGTTAAAAAATTAGAATTCATATTTTGGAAGCACTCTATTTGTGGGTGGTTTGCGGGTACTCTGGTGTGGTTTTCTTCTTCTTTCCTATCGAACATCTATCGTCCTTATATCTCCTCCTCCTTTTTTGTGTACGTTACTCTCTTGTAACACATTTATTGTTCTGCATTTATATGACCTTATTGTGTTGCAGGTGCCTTAAAACTCGTACTAAAAACTAAGAACACTCTATTTTTCAATGGTTATGCTCACAAAAAACCTTTTTCTTGTAACTATTGTGAATTTTGAAAAAGGCGTTTTGTCTGCTTATGGCAGCATTGTCAGTTAATTTTGCATAGTTTGCGTTTTGAGTAGAATTGATTCTTGTAAACCCATCTTGAGAATCTAAAAATAAGTAGTGTAGAATTGGGTGAATACTCATCCATACAAAAAAATTAAATCAGAATTGAAGAAAATGTGGCGACACACGGACAAGTTTAGCAGCTCTACAATGTGACTATGAATGTCACTGTATCTGTTGGACCAAAAAGTTTCAAAGGTCTTATCATTTGAAAAAGCTGCTCCAAAATCCACATTCAATACTGATTGATAGATGCCTTGAGCAACGGTCCATAATATTGGTACGAGCTATTGATTTTGAAGACATTTTGGCTGTCACGCTGCACCCAAATTCACATTCAGTACTGATGGATAGGTGTCTTCAACAATGGTCCGTAAATATTTTAAAACTTTCCTCCAGCACAAGAACCTGTCGGGCACGGGCCGCGCGGAGATGTTAGTCCAGCCGTCATCCTTCCTGCAGCACCAGACGTCGATGGATGACGTGGAGCAGCCCACTTCCCAGCTCGTGGAGGCTGAACACAGGTAAATGCACAGCTTGCCCTGTATGCTTCCCAAGAAGTTTAGATTGTCTCAGAATGCTATCAGGTCTGCTAGGGTAGTAGTATAGATTGTAAAGCGCATAGAGCTTGCTGTTGGGTGGGAATTTTCACTATACAAATGCTATCTATTATTATTATACACTGAGATTTATGCTCACCACAAGCATAAACACATATATGCATACATAAATGTGTTTGACACACATATTGACTCATAGATATATGTTTGACACAAGCATGAACAATATACATATATACCTTAGATACATGCTTGCCACAGACATGAACACATACTTAGACATACGCTCAACATAAGTAGGAACATATACATACACACATATCATGTATAGCAGGGCTTCCTATTTCTACTCATTTTTCAGGTATTTACTGATTTTGGACTTCTGTGTGTGTGTGCGTGTGTGTGTTTTTGTTGTTTTTGTTTGTTTTTGTTTTTTTCGTAATATTCTGTTCATAAGTAATGTGTGAATGTTTTTGGTTTTTTAAGCCTATGTTTTGTCTATTACTGACGTGTGTGCTGCTGCTGCCGCTGCCCAACTTTGGTCAACTACTGACATTTTGTCTGTTTGTTATAATTAGCCTAACTTTTGCCTTTTTTCCTACCACTGACATGTGTATGTGTGTATTTTCTTGTCTAACTATTGCCTACGACTGACATGTGTATGTGTGTATTTTCTTGCCTAACTTTGCCTACGACTGACATGTGTATGTGTTTATTTTCTTGTCTAACTATTGCCTACGACTGACATGTGTATGTGTGTATTTTCTTGCCTAACTTTGCCTACCTCTGATGTGTGTGCTATTATTTTTGCTGTTCCAGCATGCTGAGACTTGTGGGAAAGGCTCTAGCCTGTCTGAAGCACTTTACGCCCTCACTCCCAGAGATCATGTTGGACCAGGTGAGATATCGAGATACTGTCACAAATGCGTGCACACACGCACGCATTCATAAACACACACAGGTGCACACATACACACACACACACACAAGCAAAACAAAAGTGGAATTATTAGTTAGCAGCAGTTGAAGACTGCGTTAACTCACTCAAACCTAGGCCTACACCTCTGGGTTTTCAGCTCTCCCTAGAGAATTTTACTTTTTGAAAACTTGAAAAAAATACTAAATTTTAACATATCATACCCAAATTATATAGTCATTTTATTAAAAACATTATTTGTGTGTATTGAAACTTTGAAGGCAAAATATGTCATAGTTTTTATTCAATACTCTGTGAAAAAAGGTTTATATACAGAGTCAAAAAGTAAACTAAAGGCGAAGAAAGGAAGTGCGTTCAATTTTTGCACCCCCTCACATGGTTTCAAACACAAACTGGTTACTCTTCCAATTAGGCTATAGTCTGCTTCTCACAAAAGTAGTGTTTTCGGTCTCAACAGCAAAAATTTTCCATGTACCCGATACTATCAGCGTTAGAGCTGGGTGAGTTAAGCAAGTTGTCGTAAGTAGTTGAACAAACAGCGAATCACTCTTTGTTGTTAGTGGTGTGTCTTTCCTTGCTTTGTCATTTTCATCTCAGTTCATCAATTCAGGCTTGATGAAAGGTGAACCCTTAATGCGTGGCACGTCGTTTTCTTCAACATTTTTCCCTCCCCCAGAGCCTTGATGTCACAGAATGGGACCGTGTGCTCGGAATTGGCTTCGGTACACCAGCCCTGGAATCTGCCTCCGAGGGCGTTACATTTGGAACCCTTCTCTACTGTGTCACAGTCTGTGTACGGCACCTGGCCAAGGTAAGATCTCAACTTTTGCAGGTCTTTTGCAGGTCTCTCCTCAGCGCAAATTTTCGTGGGGATTTTGTTCCTGAAATTTCACAAGTATTTTAATATGTTGCTGGGGGACAATTCTGTAAGAGTGATAGAGCTCTATAATGTGTAGGATTGATTTTCCTACACTTGCGTTATTTCTAGAGGTGGAACCATCAATTTATAGTTCATTTCTGTTAAGACAGAGCCAAGTTGGTGGAGAGCTGGGAAAACGGGAGCCCACAATTTTCATTTTAAAATTTCTTTGACCCGTTTTTGTCCCACGTTGATTCGATCACTTATAGGTTACTGCAAATGCCACTCCGATTCCAAAATGGTTTTACAATGCTGGAAAAAAATCATTGTTTATAATCACATCAACAGGGAGGTGAAAGTAGGACTTCGTACAGGATGAAAATTTGTGTTAAAGTTAAAGAATAGTTGAATAAAAGTTTCGATAAAAATTCTTTAATCAAAACTTGTGAAAAATATGTTTTATATCCAGAGTAAAACCTTGTACAATGTTTACATTCAGTCTGCCACTGACTCATAAGATGATGGGCAGCGTACAGCCGAGATAAAGTACAGTACGTCTCAGAATATCACCACAGCTGCACATTAGAGGGAGAGCGAAAGAGACAGAGAGGGATAGAGAGAGACAGAGAGAGCGATAGATAGAGAGAGACAGAGAGAGGGATAGATAGAGAGAGACAGAGAGAGTGATAGATATATAGAGAAAGAGATACAGACACACACACACACACTCACACACACACTCATACATACACACACTGACACACTCGCACACACGCTGAGACAGAGAGACCGAAAGAGAGAGGGACAGAATGACAGAGAGAGACCAAGAGAGAGGCAGAGGAATACAGAGACAGAGAGAGTGATGGGGTGTGGGGGTGTGATCATGGGTATTGAGTGATAGTTAGTTACATTATTTTGCAAATATTATGTTTGACAAAAACTTGTAAAATAGTAGCTGAAGAAAGTGGCGAAAACGAGAAGCAAAACGAAGATGCACTCAGCCCAAGTTCAGGGGCACCCCATAAATAATTTGACCTGATGTGAGAGGCATGGTCACCCAGCATGGAACCATCTGAGCACTATATGAGAGCACTGCAGTGTATTTGACATTTCTGTATTATTCTGGTCGTGTAGTAATAGCTCAGGGAAAATTTGAACTAATCATCAGAATGTGTGACTATTTATATTTGAGCGGTGCCTCCACACATGGAAGCAAAGATTTCAAATTCTTGACTTTGTGGGCCAGAAAATGTCTGACTGTCATTGGCGAAAATTTAGCTGTTCTGCCCATGTTACTGAGAATATTCAGTTATCGCACGAAAGGAAATTGAGTCGTGTGCGATCGCATTCTTGCTCGCATCCCGTACTGATGCCTGTATAGATCCACTGCATCTTACTGTTGCGTGGAGAGTGCCACTTTGTCAGCTTGTACTTCTTCTCTCTCCCTCTATTGTTTCTGCATTTCTGTTTTACTTTTTTCCCTTCCCTGAATGGCTGTTCAGGTGGTTATTGGACTCTACTGGTAGGTCTGTACTTCTTTTCTTTCACTTTGTTGTTTTTCTTTCTTGTTTTTGATCATAATAATAATAATTGCTTTTTTAAAGCACATCACATATCCATGCTCTACAGAACGCTCTTTGTACATTACATCTATTATAACCCTAACAGATGCTAGAACACTCAAAAATATTCTCAGCTTCCTGCGAAGCATACAGTGCAAGCAGCCGATTAAGTGGTTTAACGCTGAATTGCTTTGATTTTTCCTGTTCTATTGAACAAAAGAATTTGGCAAGTCTGTAAGACATATCAGTTGAACAGTCCTTAATGGTAAAGATTGCTAAACTGTACAAAGCTTAATTAAAATTCTGATTTGCATTATCATAATGAGAAGTTCAAATATTTATAAATGGACTCTAGAATGGTAACATATTCTTTTTTTATTTTAAATTTTGTAGTCATAATTTTTCGCTTAAAGTTGATAATGCCTGGATTTAATTCCTCTTCCCTTCCTGCATTGTGCCAGGGAGAGGGTGGCAAGCTGTCCCCTCACCGCAGTTCCCCGGATGATCCAACCAGACATCAAGTGCCTAGGTGAGATAGTTTACTCAACTAGATGTGTTTCCTCACTGTATCACAACTGTTTGTACCGTTTTCTTCTCAGTTTAATGTACAGAATGAAAGTCATGTGTCATATATATACTACCCCCCCTCCCCCCTACACACACACACACATACACATGGACATGACAATTTTGCCTTTTTCACTGTCTATTTTTTTCCCTTGGTACCTCATTGAATGCCAAGATTTCAGTACTCTTGATTACATTTCAGAATAAAGTGTTTTTATATATCCTGATAAGTGTTGACAGCACTGTAAAATGCAATGTGTGTGTATGTTCCCAGGCCCGTTATCCACTTTGCCCTCGAGAACTCCCTGGATATCCTCATGTCTCAAGCATGTCGCTACCTGAGAGATCCGAACCTTGTACCCCGTGACAGGCAGTTTTTGAAACGAGAGCTGGGCACTGAATTGGTGAGTCATATGTCAAGCAAAATATACACAGGCAAGCAACCATACTCTCAAATATTCTCGAGCATGTACACACTCTCACATATTCACGCAAATGCCCACATTAATACTCTTGCATTCAAGTGTATTCACTTTCAAATGGCTTGCACATTCAAAATCAGATGAATATTTGAAATGGTTATCATGATATTCAAAGAATTGCATTAAAAACAGCTTGACTTATTGTGAAACTCACAATTTAAGGTCAAATTTCTCAAAACTAGGTACTGAGCAAATAGAATTTTGTAATTCTAGGGTAGCAAGATGGGTATCATTACTTTTCGAAATGAAAATCGCACTGGCACCTTTTGCGTACCGCAGTGAAATGCGTTTACCGTAACTCCTCAAACACCAGCCAACAGCAGCACCTTCAATTTACCCTGATAATTATGTTGTTTTCCCCCCGCACCAGAATTCGTTCCTGTCCAGTCTACATCGACAGCTGCGACGAGGAGGCGGTGTGGAGCGCTCTACCTCTCTGACTCCCCCAAACACAGGTGAGAGGCTGCATGGGGTGGGGTGGGGTGGGGGACTGGTGTTGTCTTCTCCTACCATTTGTTCTTTTTTGGGGGTGAAAATGTGTGGCATTGTGGTGAAATGAGCCGCTCGTCAAAATATTGAAATTTAGAGAAGAGACCTACTGGAAAAAGTAAAAGACAGAGGTAGACCAACTAGAAGTTAAAGAGGCACACTCAGGGATGAGGCAATGACCCAGGGTCTAGATGAGCCAAGATTAGAAGAGTTGACCAAGGACAGGCAAGTTCTCTGTCTCTGTACCTGAGAGGTAGGCAAGTTCTCTGTCTCTGTACCTGAGAGGTAGGCAAGTTCTCTGTCTCTGTACCTGAGAGGTAGGCAAGTTCTCTGTCTCTGTACCTGAGAGGTAGGCACGTTCTCTGTCTCTGTACCTGAGAGGTAGGCACGTTCTCTGTCTCTGTACCTGAGAGGTAGGCACGTTCTCTGTCTCTGTACCTGAGAGGTAGGCACGTTCTCTGTCTCTGTACCTGAGAGGTAGGCAAGTTCTCTGTCTCTGTACCTGAGAGGTAGGCAAGTTCTCTGTCTCTGTACCTGAGAGGTAGGCAAGTTCTCTGTCTCTGTACCTGAGAGGTAGGCAAGTTCTCTGTCTCTGTACCTGAGAGGTAGTGAGAGGGAGTAAGGAAGTAAATGTGCACGCCATTGAGCAACCAAAGAAAATATGAGGCTCCCATAGATTTTGGTTTAAACTGTATTTTGTGGTGTGGAGATTAGTTAGGCCATGTTTATTCTGCTTTTGAACCAGAATTTAGTACCTTTTGTTTGCTGATTTCTTCACCATAAGAATGTTGTGTTTTTTCCTGTGTTCTGCCAAAATATGTCATTTATTTATAGTGGCCACATTCTGCCTATTTATTTGTAAGAGGGTGATGATAGATGGAACCACATCACTCAAACAGGAAGTACATCCCCACATCATGGTAAAGTTCACTTTTATCTTGTCCGAAATTTTGTGTATTGTCTCTATCTTTTTTAGTTCCTTCTTTCTTCCTTTGTATTATTATTCCATGAACCAGAAACTATGACAAATAGCCCAGATCAAGGATTGGACCATTGGCATGACCAAGGGACCAAGAATTGGACCATCGCTTTGACCAGTGAATTGAAGCTTTGATCTAGTAGGGCATCGACCAAACAATACATAACATGCCTTCTGCTCTCTCTTTCTCTCTCCAGGATTCAGTCTGTCAGCGACATCCTCAGCAGCTGCTGGGCTCAGTTCTCCGGCAGTGGGCACCCCACCCGTGGGCTCAGCCTCCACAGGTCATGGGTCCCTGACCCCTCAGCTCAACAGATCAGTGTCGGTGACTTCTTTCACAGGCGCCAATGACCCAGCTTACATCCAACTGGTCCAGGCTTTTGTTCAGAAAGTGTTGAGATAGTAGCAGGGGCCGCGTTTGTTCTTAGCTTTTGTCTGTCTGAGGGGTGACTGAGCTTGGGGTCAGCACTGGTCAGGGAAGGAACAGTGTTGGTCTTAGAATGTAGATGAGTGGGCTGATTGGATGTGAGAGTCTGCTGCTGTCGGCCGATTGGATGAGAGAGCCTGCTGCTGTTTGCTGATTGGATGAGAGAGTTTAGTGCTGTCAGCTGATTGAATGAAAGAGTCTACTGCTGTTACCTGATTGGATGAGAGAGTCTGCAGTGTCGGCTGATTGGATGATAGATTCTGCTGCTGTCAGTCGCTTGGATGAGAGAGTCTGCTGCTGTCAGCTGATTGGATGAGAGGAACTTGCTGGCAGCTGATTGGATGGGAGATTTTGCTACTGTCATGCTATTGGATGTAAGATTCTGCTACTGTCAGGCGGCTGGTTGTGAGACACATAGTTTGTACTGTTTCTGTTAAGAAAGGAATGGTTATCTTGAGTCTTCGTTCTGGTGTATGCTGGGTAGATGTGAGGACATGGGGCCGAAGCTTGTCAACATAGGAATAGTAACGTTTTTTGATGAGTAAAAGTAAATTTAAACCCCCCATTTGGAACTGACTAGACCTAGTGCTGAGGTCCAGGATCACAGTAGGGTTGGTGCTTTGTGTTATAAAATATGGGAACATGAAACAGCTGGCTGGGACTTTTGATTTGCACAAAGACGTTTGTGAATTGTGTCTCATGTGTTCGAATTGTTAATGTTGTACGTGAGTGTGTATTAGTTCCAGATTCTGACACTCAATTTTATGTAAATACTTGCATTTACACACACACACACACACATTCCCTCTGAGACATAAAAGCATGCACAAGTGCACACACTTGCGTGTGCACACACACACACACACACAGACACACACACACACCACTCATCCTCTTACTCTCACATAACCACATAGGCACACTTACTTCTACTAAAAAACACACACACAAATGATTGTATGGAACTAGTGGGATCAAATTAAATAAATGTGTCGGCTGTACTAAATTTGTGCCTTCTGTTGGTTAGTACAGAGTGTTTTGTTTGTTCTGCGAGAACTAGCACCTGTTGTGATGTTTCTGGTAATTGGATGAGCATGTACATTTGAACAGTTTGATGACAAAACGCTGCAAATTCCATTTTTGAAGTAGCAAAATATGATTTTTCCTCTTTTAAGGACTGCCATAAGCCATAATGTCTCAGTGTATTGGAATTGCCAAGTGATCGTATTTAGAAACATTGCAATTGTGTAACGATCAAAGTCTGGTATAAAGAAAATCAGATTCTAAAGTTAAAAACGCACTGGACTTGGATTATTTTTATGTTGTTCCCTCTTTTGAAAGGGTCTGTGACTTTGGATTGAACTCTTTGTTTGATTTGACGTTGTTAGCGATCCAGTAGCATCTGAGCGTTAACTCTTCTGCATGATGCCATTCGGATTTGAAAATAAAAGTAAAGTTCCCCATTCTGAAAACAAGTTTTTAAAAAGCTTCTTTCACTCATGATGGCCCAAATGTGGCCCCACTCTAGATATATGTATTGAAGGTCAAGTAAGTTCTAAACGGAGAGCTTAAGATTATTTTTACTGGTTCGACTATATATACAACAGGCGTAGTGCACACATGCTAGTTTGCTACATGAAACTGAAATAATAATTCAATAATTTCCACTTTGTGACTGATAGTTTTTACATTGTGGTCTTCATTTATTGTTTCATTGAAATGTTTTTACATGGAATTGCCAAAGGAATAAACACCTTTTAGACAGTCATGCGAATTTCAAAATTCTTTTTATACCTTTGATCATTGCTACTCTTAGCTCAATTAGTGTCACGCTGGACTATATATTATATTAACCCAGGTTTGAATTTCCAAAGGGTCGTTATTGGGCAAGGGTAATTTTAATAATAATAACAATAAATAGCACTTGTGTAGCGCAAATTCACGCTCAGCAGCAAACTCTATGTGATTTATAATCAGTATTTTCTGTGATTCTTCTCCAGGTTCCACACCGTCTTTCCCTTGATCTCTTACCCTGTGGGTTCCAATCCAAAACTTTCTTTGTTATGCAGCTGCCTGACTTAATAATAATAATAATAATAATTGCATTTATATAGCGCATATCCATGCTCAAGAGCATGCTCTATGAGCTTTACAACCATTATTACCCCAGCAGACCCTCTGAGAACACTCAGAAACATACTCGGCTTCCGCCGAAGCGTACAGTGCAAGCTGCGGATTTCACGCGCTCAAACACGATCAAACTGACAAGATCGTTCACTGTCTATAGCCGGGTACCCATTTCCACCTGAGTGAAGTGGGGAAAATTTGTGCAAAGTGCCTTTCCCAAGGACACAACATCGGGCCCCTGACGGGATTCGAACCCGAGACCTAACGGTTGCGAGTCCGAGAGCTTAACCACTAAGCCAATGACTTCCTGAGAGTATGTCCAATCCATCGCCACCGCCTTCTTCCAACCTCATCTCAGACTGGAATCTGTCTTGTTTTCCTTAACACTTCCACATTGGTGATCCTGTCTGTCCATCTGATCCTCAGAAACTTTCTTAGTCCCCTGTTCAAGAAATGTGTGTCATTATTAAGGGGGTGTAGCTATGGTCAACACCCAAATGCTATACTTTTTGGTCTAACGCTTGCTTTTCTGCATCAAAGGGGGTGACATAGTACAAAAAAAGGTTACCAAGCAAAAAATTCAAGATTTTAGCAATGATAATCTCGAGCCATCAAAAATATAGGATTGATTCAGCATTTTTAAAACCAATTTTATATTTTGTCAATCATCAACATGCTTCAAGATAGAAGCCTAATATTTGGCATGGCGATTACTGTTGGTAGGTAGAACAACCTTACAGAGCCAAATTTGAAATTTTTGTACTGACTTGTGAGCCTTACAGTCCTTGTTATGCACCACATTCAGGTCTCCAATGTTTTCAGATTTTGTCAAATAAAACAGGCCTAAAACTCCAAATGTGTTCCATAAACAGCAAAAATGCTCCTGTAAAGTTATAGAGAACTGTGTATAAAAGATTGTGTCCAAATTTGAAACAATTCTGACAGTAACTTTCTGAGATCTACTCAATATAGTGTTGCTACCTGGTCAGATAAACAATTCTGAGAAAACTGCAAAGAGAGATAATTTTTGGTGAAGATTTTCCTACATTGCTGCCTCTCTTAAATGCGTTTTCCAGGTATTTATAAGTTTGATAAAGGAATTAGGCTTCTAAAGATGGATCCTTGATATTGATATCTATTAAGATACTCCAAAATCTGAAAATTGATATTTTTTTCAAAATTTTTACTGATCTGACCAGTGGATCCCCTTAAGTGTTAAATGTCAAAGCCAAAAAAAATCATTTATTTCCAAACGATAGATGTCTTTTTGTTGTTCAGATTAATATTCTAACCCTTACAATAACTTCTTCATTATTACATTTTTACTTAAATACTCAATTTTTACTAGTCACAGAAGACTGGTAAAGTACCATATTATTGTGGTACCTATATATATTATACATGTGTATATATGGAAGAATAAAGGAAACGAGAAAGACAATAACACTTAGAGGGGAATCTTCTCTACTCAGTGTATACATGTACTGTCAAAACGTGTGTCACGGCGCAGTGGAATTAGGCGCTCGTCATAATAATGAAATCTAAGAGATAGACATTTCACGCCTGTTGGTCAAATTTTATCAAATTTTATGTTTTGGACATGTATGTCCAATAAAAAACACATTCCTGTTTGAATTTTATTGAAAAAACTTTGATCAAAGGTACAAAAAATGTAAATTTGCGGTTTTCAAGGACACTACAGCACAGCTTTGGAAATTTGCTAACTTTAGAGGCCATTTTCTTGCTAATTTTACATCAGGCGACTCTTTCCTCCTCCTTCAGTCGCGAATATCTCGACTTTTATTCAAGATAGAAGAGTATTTTTCATCGAAAAGCAAGGCAAATGAACAGGCTTCAAGATATTAAGATGATATCTATAACTCCATATATACAAAAAAACACACAGATGAGCGCCTGATTTCACCATGTCCTGACACCTAGCAAATTCAATGGGAGCAGCCTGAGGGCGATCACCCGGATCTTCTGCCCTGGACATACAGACAGCTGTGAGACAGAATGAGCGAGCAGAATTAACTAGCAGGCTGAGCTAGAATAAAGGAATCACTCACCACACTTGATCTTCTTACTCTTCTTCCTGTAACTGTATGACTGCACTCATACGTGACCCTCATGCTTTCTCTGCTCTTTGTTAGTGTATTGGTCAACTAATGGAATCTATTTTGGCCTGTAAGTGTAAGCTGGCACAAGAGCTATAAAGAGGAAAAGCCTCCTACCCTCTACCCAAGAAGCTACGGCACAGAAAAGTACACTTGGATGAATTATGAATACCGGTACAGCGATCCTCGCATCCGATGTGTATAATGGCTTTAAGGAGAGGTGAGAAAACTGGCGTCTGGCGACTGCCATTGACCTTGAGGACTCGTACAATAGAGTTTGCTATGATGGCGTTCTACCTCAAAATTACAGTTCTAGTAGCTCAGCACCTAGTTTTGGGAAATTTCACGTCAAAGAAGGAGTTCCACATCATGTCGAGCTTTTTCGAATGCAATCCTTTGAATAACTTGATAACGACTTCGAATATATTCTTATGATTTTGATAGAACAGACAGAGCGTTCAATTTCTGACCTCATGGTCTTAGTTACTCAAAACTGCCAAGAAATGTCAGAAATAACTTTTTCTGAGGTAGCAATAATGTTCTGCATAGTGATTGTGTGATATTGAACTATGTTACTGGGATTTTTTTCTGGGTTTGGGACAAGCGTGAGGTGGCTGTTGAGCCAGTCATCTGGAATCTCGCCTCTTGACAGGCTGTTATTGGTACATGTATTGATTGAATTTTGAAGACCACGGTTATTGCCTCAAACTCAATTTCAGCATCGCGGGTGGTTGGAGGGCACCACTGGTAGGACCTACTTCTTTACTTTCCCTCTGTTGTTTCTGTCTTTGTCTGACTTACTTTTCCCCAGCTCTAAATGACCATTATTGTGTCGACGTGCTTCTCTTTACTCAAACACAAAACGAAACATGTCAGCATCACCCATTTCTTTTATGTGGGAGTATCTAAATCCTCTAGTTACAGTGCTGATAGAGGCGTTATACCATTTCACCATTTTCAGTCCCACTAGGACCTTGCGCAGATTCTCCTCTACCCCACCGCCCCACCCCCCCAGACACTGCTTTCTCTAATGTTATTAACTCATCCGCCATAATATGTTTCTTGGCGTGAACTCTGATGCTGTTGAAGGTAGAAAAGTAGATGGTTCTCTTAGCCTCATTATCTTGATTGGTATGCCGAATGTAGAGAGTGAATAGAGCATTTTGGGGGTTATTTTCTTTTTGTTCTTTCCATCTCTCCTCAGCGAGTCACTGTCTTCTCTCTGGAAGTCGGGTATGCCTGAGGCTTTCCTTCGTTTTCATGTGGCTCCGTACAGATTCCAGAACTCGTGAAGGGCCGTATTTGCCTGCAAAACGCCTCATATATTGCACTTTTCTAGTCTGATCAGCGGCGTCTTGGAAACTGTCGGATGCTATTTTAGCGGCTTCTCTTATTTAATTTCTTGATTTCGGCTGTCTCTTTGTGATTATTTAGGGCCTTTCTCTTTCCTGCCCATAATGTCTCAATATCAGGATTTCACTAAGGGAACTGAGTGAACTTTTACTGCGCTATTTCAGGGTTTTTTTGGGGGGTTTTGGATTTTTTAAACTGATTATATTATCATTCATTCATTGGTGCAATTGTATTTGAATACTCGTGGTGGTCTTTCTGCTTTGTGGCTTGGTCCACGCTTGACAAAGACAGAACATGTGCAAAATAATATGTCATTATCAAAAGAGCCAAGGGCATCCCATTAGAGATTAAAATATCGTTTAAGATGTTAGAGCAAAGGAGAGCTCCATCGACACACAATTTATATCATTTAGGAGGCGGACAATAGCACGAGCAAAAACAGCGGCAACAAAAAGATTGGTATTGTTTGGTTTTCTAGTATGTTTTTTGTTAAATTTGATTCGCAAGTGTATTGGGGAAAAGACCCAAGAAAAGTACTCGTTTTATTCGCTACCGTGACTCAAATCAAGAAAAACGATATCCACTTTTCGCCGCCTCCCACTCGCTCTTGAGCGACATTTTGCAGGCGAAGTAGAGCCGTTCGTCACATGCAGTGCTATGCCATAGTCCAACTGGGTCCACAGATACACGTGGGTCGAGTCACGTGGTTCTCCTGCAGCCCACTTTGTGAAGGTCACGGGTCTGCTGGACTCACTTCTGGAACTATGAAGACAACAACACCTGGCTTAGATTGGCTATCTCGGAATTACCACGTTCTATCAGACTTTTTTGGCCGTTTTGGAGTTATTAAGGAGACCAAGAGGGAAGAAAGCAAATGTTTTATCTGCTCTATCAAAATCGTAAAATTATTCGGAGTCATGATCAAGATATTCAGAGAACTGCTTTCGAAAAGTTTGACATGTTGTGAAACTCAAAATATTTTACGTCAGATTTATCACAACTACGCATGGAGCACGCCCCTGCAGGTGGGGGTGGGGGGGAATAGTTTTACTATGGGGGAGTAAAGAATACACCTCCCGTGATACTTCGTGATAGAGGCGACTAAAAGTACAAAGGTCTGGTCGCCCGAAAAGTGCCAGTTTACAGACGGCCAACTACCCAACCCAGTTGT